CTCTGTTGTGTTGATTCATTCTTAACTGGCTACGTTGTAACCGGTTTGAAAACCGTATATTACATTCTACCACCTCCATCCCTTATTTAAGTTCACAGTTTTACTTTTTGAGTCAATTTTTTTTTAACTTTGACCGTTAATTACTCAAAAACTGTAATATTTTATAATATCAAAATAATTTTTAATGCTTCATTTTAATATATATTAGGGTTTTTGAAATGTTAGTTCATTATGAGTTTTATAAATATATATTTTTATATATCGATGGTCAAACGTCGATATATTGGAGACTGTGAAATGTTGACTGTAAGCTTAAACAAGGGATGGAGAGTATTACTTAGTTTTGGATTCTCCTCATAATATCACTAGAGGTTTACGGTTGTAACTATATGTCACAAAGTTTTTAAAAAGATGATCATACGCATTGCTAGCTTTTATGGTATATGTTACTCATTAAACAATATTAATTTTTTCTCATAAAAAGTTGATGAGTTAAAATGAATTGTGATGCTTATTAGTGTCGTGTTTACCACCAACTTTAATTTGTCTTGTGACTCTGTCCCTTCTTGTGTGTTCTTCCTTCAATCCACATTCTATAGCCATCAAGTCACAAAAACCATTGTGGATATGAACGGTGCTAATTCGGCATGTAAAGAAGAGGTTATTGAAAAAAGAACTACCTGAACTTATGTATTGGGGTGATCATTCTTTTGTTGGTTAAAATGGTTTTTGTCTACTTATTTCCCATACAGAACACTATGAGCCAAAATCTAAAGGTAAACGATAGAAGAAAAGGTAGCAATTGGGAGTATAAAAGAAACACGGTTCAAGACCTCTCAAACAGCACAAGCAAAATAAGCTAATAATGGGAACCTATGTACCACGGATATTCTTGGGAAAGACTACGTCTCCGTTTCGGAAACTCTACGGAAACTCTTCAAACAAGCATTTTTTGAGCAAAAATTGGTGTTTACCGTTTCCCGTTTCCTTGTGATTTTCGTGTTTCCGTGCAACATAGATGAGAACATATAATAATGATGGGAATCGATCAGATCAGTTATTATTACATTGCATGCATGCACATTTCTCTAGCCTATCAACATTTCAACTGAAAATATAAAGAACCAAATGAACTACACGAATATCGTTCGTAATTGAGTAACCAGAGAAAATATAATACTACGTATTCGTTTGACATGAAAATATCTTCCAATTTACCTTACTCATAATAACATGCTCCGTATGATATTAGTACAATATGATCCCTGTGCTTGTGGTAATGGAGACCGGTTTGAGCAGGGACGGATCCAGGAAATTGACTCAAGGGGGGCGAAATTTTTCGTTAGTGTAGATGGCGAAAAATTTTTCGTTAATGTAGCGGCGCGAATTTTTTTTCCATAGTGTAGTGGGGCGAGTTTTTTCGGTGTTGTAGGGCTATGCGGCTATTTTAATTCAAAAAATGACATGAATACATAAACATTCCCAACGATATTTAAATCTATTACATTCTAAGTTTAGACAATGACAAAGACATCAACCAATACATTTTAAATAACTTCTACATTGTTTAACCTCATGAATCGGTTATTGAATTGTAATTTTTGTCTACCAAGGAGGGTGTTCGTGAGTCATGACTCATGAGAAATTTTCTTAATATTACAATAGTAATATTTATGGGATTATTATTTTTAGATAATATGCACCACATATTATATATATGGTACATATTATATTTTAATATTTGTATTAATGCTATAATAATTTAAAGTTTATTATCTATGCAATAAATTATTTTTTAGAAAGCAAGAAGTAAACAAATTATGTAATTTAATTTCAATAAACATTTATATTTTGGATCATTTCACGTGATCTAAATACTGTGTAATTAGTGTGTCTGGTATTTAATATCATTTGATATATATATATATTTTACAAAATCCAGTACTTGTTATCTAATAAAGATAATTAAACATTACAAAACTAGGAATTTTTATATAATAAGTATCCCAAATCTTAAACGAGTTATTCTATTGTTTATTTGTTTAAGTTATGTAAATTATTTTAGATGTTACTTCTTTCAAATCTCCAATTAAGTATTACATAATGTAAGACTATATATTAATTTTGAAAATTAAAAAATAAGGGGGGCGAATCTAATTAAATTATGAAAGTTCTATGAAAATATTACATATATGGTAAAAAAAATTGAAAATCCAAGGGGGGCGGTCGCCCCCCGCGCCCACCCCTAAATCCATCACTGGGTTTGAGGAACAAGATATATATATGTGTAATCGATTTTTCAAAACCATTTCAAGTCCAAATTCTATATACCAGTCAATAGACATGGATTAGAAATTGGGTTTAGAATTGAATTGAGTTTGAGAAATATTTCAGTACGTCACAATAATGTCACATGATAATCGTGAGATAACGTCACATACGCATGTGTGTATTTCAATTCCCAATAATATACATTCAACAAAATATGCACATATATGATCTAGGAAACCTAATTGAAGGCTTAAATTTGTTAAGCTTTGACACAATATCCTTTTATTTATCATTTTATATTATCTCATTCTTTATTTTTTTAAATCACGTCAAATCCAAATACGTCAATTATATTCCACTTTTTGCAAAGCAATTTTAAGATTCACGCACTTTATAAAGGACTCATGAGGAACGAGTAATTACAATGTTTTTTTCGTGTTTTGGTCCCAAGCTATCCCGTTTTTTTCCCTTTCCCTTTACGCTGTACATCCGTTTTAATCTCAATAAAATTTAAACCTCACCTAAAAAAACACTTATGAGTAAAAGTGATCAAATTCATAATAGAAATTGTCCTGGATAGGATTAAAAACGTTTAGAAATTTTGAAAAAAGACTCTCATATTTATATTCCCTAAATTGGCGTTATTCTGTCAAGTTTGGAAAAAACCGTCATGTTTAAAGCGCGGTAAAGCCAAACTTGACAAAAATCACTCTTATTTAGGGAAAAAATACATGACGGTGCTAAATAGGAATTCAATGTCAGCATGCTTTGTAATGCATGTGATGTTAAGATGGTTGAACATGCAATCGTCTCACAACAAATTATCTCACAAAGGGGAAATTGGTGGATTCTACTTAGGCTTCTCAGTTATCATACTAGCAGCTTATTCCTTTAGAGCAGGTTAATTAACATGCTCAATAAATCTACTTATTCATTATAATCACTGTACGGCCAGGGGCGGATCTGCCAGGGGGCAAAGGGGGCCGGTGCCCCTGCTTCGTCCGTACGAGCTAGGTATAAGGGAGGGCTTGGGGGGGGGGGGGCGCAGGGTTGGTCCATAGTTTCCGGCGGACAATGGGTGTGTTGCAGACCGTCTGGAAGATAGGGACGATGGGAGAGCGGTGTTGTTTTTGTTTAATTGGGACGACGCCGTTTCAGTTGTAATAAAAAACAATGCAGGGCCTATCCGGCCAACACCTAAGGCCTAAAGCCCAAGTCTAAAGCCCAAACCTTTGGCTGTTACAGACCAGAGCAGCAACCAACTGACCAAGTAATCAACGCAATACGCATAGCTTTGGTCCAATCGCCAAACTAATTAATGATTTGGTATCCATTACTCCATATCTTATTATATTAAAATAAGATGACTATAATAAATTACTAGTGGATAATAGTCTAAATTAATTAATTTTGTTTTTGGTAATTATTATTCAGAATGTGAATAAAAAAATCCGAAATAAAGTATCGATAAATTTGGGTGCTAGTTCTTTAAATGTTTATGGTTGAGCTACACCTCTAGATACAATCATACGGATGCAAGTAGAGTGAGCCGAATAGTAGGATTATGATTAGACAATCTTACTGATGTGTAGTGTTACATAGAAAGAGATGTGTTTAGACACATCGATAATGAGATTATTTTCCAGCATCTTCATAACATGCATGAGGACCGGAAGCTTGGATTTAGCACCATTACATTAGCAGTTTTGATTAATTTTCTTATGTTTTATTGATGTGGTTTGTTAAGAGAATGTTATTATTAATTTGATGATTTACATTATGTGATTGTGCCCCCGCTTATATTATTTTCTAGTTCCGCCACTGACTGTACCTCATCCATCAAGTTGAAAAACACAAGTTTATTATTACATAGTTTGAAATATGTATTCCTATCTTTGGCAAGCTTGCTTGCGAAGGGATTTTGCAAGTCGTAGAGCTTTAATTCGTAGGAAAACTATTCGTCTTGTTCATTTTAATAGCTGCCAGCTGCCTAGTTAATTAACATCTTGTGGTACCTACTTAGCTAAAGTCAAAGTTAATTTTCAATGCATAATTTAAGCTCTTTGACAACTATGATCGATAGTTGGTGTAATTTTGAGAATTGCTCAGAATTGGAAACACGTAATGCCATGAATACTACAAAAATACATAACTGGTTTGGTATGATTTTGTAATTATAAAAATTAATTAAAGCGTCCAAACATAAAGTCACCAACCGTTTGAATTATATCCAAATCTGTCATAAAGTTCAAAAACAATGTATTTGATTAAAAATGGAGGACTAAATATATTTAATGCAAATTCTATGGAATTCTTAAGGCCGGTGTTGTACTATATCCATCATCCATGTGAGTTTTTCAATTTTAGTCTCTGTACGTGTTAGTGTCAATTTTAGTACTTGATTGTTTATTTCCCCATTTTTAGTCCGTTGGCTATTGTACTAGAAACATTTTTAGTCTTCCACTTCAAAATTATTTATATTTTAATCTTCTGATTATTGTCAAATCGACTTTGATCATGCCATTATGATTTTGGCACAATAACTAGAAGACTAAAAATGTCACTATGATAATAGTTGAAGAATCAAAAGTTTCAATTTTATTAAAATTGAAAGACTAAAATATGGAAGATTTTAAAGACGAGTAACAATGTCTATCGTACAAATATATAATTGAAGAACTAAAAGTGAAAATTTTAATAGTGGAACATAAAAAATGTCACTAATAGCTCTAGAGGATGTAATTTTTACACAAGTTTACTTAATTATATTACTTCTATAATAATAAAAACACATTGACCAATATTCATATAGGCCATAATACTATGACCAATCAAACCATCATTAATAAAAAAAAACTATTCAAATTAGACGAATTATATAATTATATGACGTACTCCAACATGGATTTATGGGATTGCGTATGCAACCTTATTTGCAAGGGCGTTGACCAAAGCCAGCGCATTACTCGTCAGCTCCTTAACCTTCACAACCCCATTGTACACGCCGGATCTGACGGGCCCACTTTCCACGTCATCAAATCCGTCCACACACGTGTCCTCGTTCGTCTCGGCGGCACTCATCCACGTTAGCACATTGTTGAGCTGAAACCCTTGCTCGTCAGCCGAGCCACCGAGCCGTTTCATCTGCATGAGCGAGTCCTGCATCTGGTCAACGGAGTCTCCGAGGGTGGAGGAGCAGTCGTTGAGCACCGCCGCCACTCGGTGGTCGTCGCCGTTATCAGCCAGCGGAGAGAGGTTGTTGTTGACGTAAGTCGTCACCCTCCTGGCTTTGCTCAGGCTAACCGCGATGGCCACGCGAGCCAGCCGGCCGGCGTCTTGCTGTACGGCGCTAGCGTAGCCGGAGAGCGTGGCGTAGCATACGTCGGGGTAGAGTGTGTGCTGACAGCTCTTGTAGATGAACTCGGTGTTCGGACCGGTGGTGGTAGAGGCGGCAGCCGTCGGGCTGACGAACGCGGCGGTAGAAGGCAGGTGTGTATAGAGAAGCCCCGTGAAAAGGAGAGTGAATATGAAGGAAAATGTAGGATTTGGTTTCATGTTTACAATGAGAGGTATAAAGTAAGGAAACATGGAACCTATATGGCAATGTATATAAGAGTTTATATGTTGGAAAACCTCTAAAGTTTGGCCCTCATAAGAGTGTAAATGGCGCCTTCTAATATACTTGTACATACATACGTGATACGTATAATGCGAGAGGAGTGATTATAATTTTAGATCATGGAGCTGATGAGTATTAATTGGTCCGACGACATAGCTAGTAGTCAATAGATTGAAAAACTCTCTTAATGTAGTACTCTGTTCTCTTAATGTGTGTTTTTCCTAAGTAACAATAACTTAATTAATGTTAAGATTTATGATGCTTTTTTGAATAGTTTTCAGTTCGAGAACAAACTAGACATGATTAAAACAGATCAAATCAAATCAAACTAAAATAGATTAGATTATATCAACATATTTTAGCTCAAAAGAAAACACTCTAACTACCATATATTGGTATTAGTAGATGAAGAATTCAATTCATAACTTCCATGAAGCTTCCTCCATGTGCAAGAATGACAAGGGGAGCTTCCTCAACCACCATTGAAGCTTCCTCATGTTCCATTGAAGCTTCCTCCTAGCTTCAACACATCTTCCTCCCACCTTCAAGCAATTTAGATCATAGATTAGAATACCACAACCAAGTTTGAGTTGTGAATATCCTTGAGAGATATGTGAGGTGTTTTGAGAGTTTTTAGTTAGAGCTTGTATGTCTCTTCTTTCTATTCTTGAAAGTAATAGAAGTGTTTTTCTCTCATATTAGCACGATCCTGTTATTCCCAACAAGTGGTATCAGAGCCTGGTTGAGCTTTTGATATTTTTCCCAGATTTTTTCAGATAAAATTCTACTGTCTGAAAAATCGAGTTTTTCAGTATTGCTCGGAATTGCAATCTGAATATACCGTTGGATTCGTCTCGTCGAGACGAGAAAACTGGTATTTTTGGGGATTTTTTGGCCACCGGAAGCTGCCATACGCGCCACCAAACGCCGGCCAAAAACTGCCTGCGTCATGCTGACGTCATCACGCGCAGACAGAGGTTGAAGACAGCTGACGTCATCGCTGACGTCATCAGCCAGCCAGAGCTGCGTCAGCGACACGTCAGCGCCACATGTGCAGTCCCAGCACAGTCAGCCGCCACGTCACCAGTCAACTGCCAACTTTCATCAGCGCCTAGTCAGCTGCCACGTCATCGCCCAGTCACCGCCACGTCACTGCCACGTCATCTGCCACGTCACCGGTCAGTTTGTAATTTTGAAAATTTGCATTTTGGTCCCTCAATTTTTGGAAAATTATAATTTCCACCTATAATTTTTCGAAAATTGTATTTTGACCCCGAAAGTGCCTACCCACCACTTTCGGCCGTTCCGGACGCAACGGTGCTGCCCGTTTTTCGAAATTCGGCTCCGATTTTTCTGAAACAGAAAATCAAAATTATTTAGAAGGTGAAAATGACCTTTGACGAGTCAACTTCATCTTCCGGAGCTATGATTATGCTCACGGCTACCAACTACACGCTATGGAAACCTCGGATGGAAGATTTCCTTAGTTGTAAAGACCTTTTTGATCCAATAGAGATGAAAGGTATTAATTCTGATCCGGCCAAGTCAACGGAGTGGAAGAAAATTAATAGAAAAACTATTGGTCAAATCCGACAATGGATTGACCATAGTGTCTTCCACCATGTTGCACAAGAAACCGATGCTTATGCCCTTTGGAAAAAGTTAGAAGATATGTACCAGGCCAAGACCGCTAGGAACAAGGCCCTACTGATGAGGCGTCTTGTCAATATGAAGCTCAAAAGTGGAACTTCTGTTGCCGAACATACTAGTCAATTTCAGAGTCTGGTAAATCAACTATCTTGTGTAGAAATGCCACTTGGAGATGAAATGCAATCTCTACTGCTTCTTAGTTCCCTTCCTGATAGTTGGGAGACACTAGTTGTTACTCTCAGCAACTCAGCCCCAGATGGCAAACTTACCATGTCTGTGGTCAAGGATGCACTGTTCAATGAGGAGGCAAGAAGGAAAGACATGAGCACAGATGAGACTCATGCCCTTGTGACAGAGAATAGAGGAAGATCACAAGGAAAACAACAAAGAAACAGTAGAGGGAAATGGCAAAGCAGGGGCAAAAGTCGGGGGAGATCATCAGATGGCCGGAAACCTTCTTATACCTGCCACCATTGCGGTATAGAGGGTCACATGAAGAAGAATTGCTACAAATTGCTAGAGGAGCGAGGCAAGAGCAATTCTCAAGCGAAGTGCAAGGGTGGTGAAGCGCTCATCACAATCTCAGGTGATGTGGCGTATTGTACTATCAATGATGAAACATGTCTTCACGTCTCAAGAGAGGACACTGAATGGGTGGTAGATACTGCAGCATCCTACCATGTTACTCCCCACAGGTACTACTTCACAACTTACAAAGCTGGAGACTTTGGAGCAGTGAAGATGGGCAATTCCAGTTCATCTGAAATAGCTGGAATTGGTGATGTACAAATAAAGACGAGTTCTGGGAGCACAATCACTTTGAAGGATGTCAGACATGTTCCAGACCTTCGTCTCAATCTCCTGTCAGTGGTATGTCTTGACGAACAGGGGTATGAAAACCACTTTAACAGGGGCACCTGGAAAATGTCAAAGGGCGTTTTGACAATCGCTCGAGGACATGTTTGTGGCACATTGTACAAAACTCATTTGAGGATTTGTACGGATAGCCTCAACATTGCTGAGGAGACTTCTCATAATCTGTGGCACCTGAGACTCGGTCACATCGGTGAGAAAGGGCTGACTACCTTGATCAAGAAGAACCTTATCAACATCGACAAGAATGCTGCACTGGGTCCTTGCAGTCATTGTCTGTTTGGTAAGCATCATAGAGTATCATTTAGTTCTACTTCAGCTAAAAGATCAGAGTTGTTAAGTTTGGTACACTCCGACGTCTGTGGTCCTTTCGAGGTGGAATCAATCGGTGGAAGCAGATATTTTCTGACTTTTATTGATGATGCTTCTCGGAAAGTGTGGGTGTATTTCCTTATTACGAAGGATCAGGTATTTGAGTGCTTCAAGACATTTCACGTCTTGGTGGAACGTGAAACGGGAAAGAAGCTGAAATGTCTCCGATCTGATAATGGAGGCGAGTATACTTCTAAGGCGTTCGATGCATATTGTAGAGAATATGGCATTCGACATGAGAAGACAGTACCACGCACCCCTCAGCACAACGGCGTTGCTGAAAGAATGAACCGGACTATCATGGAGCGTGTCCGGAGCATGCTGAATATGGCTAAGCTTCCGAAGTCATTCTGGGCAGAAGCAGTCAACACCGCATGCTACCTTATCAACCGATCACCTTCGGTACCACTGAACTTTGAAGTTCCAGAGAGGCTATGGACAGGTAAGGATCCTACATACTCACATCTTAGACTATTTGGTTGTTCATCGTATGCACATGTATCCAAAGAGCTCAGGCAGAAGCTCGATGCAAGAACTATCCCGTGCATTTTCGTTGGCTATGGAAATGAAGAGTTTGGATACAGGCTATGGGATCCTAAGGAGAAAAAGGTGTTCAGAAGTAGGGATGTTGTGTTCCACGAAGATTTGACAATAGAAGACATTGAAAAACCCTCGATGTCTCGGAAGTCAAATGAGGGTGCTCAAGTTTCAAATGAAGCACCAGAAGAGGACAAAGTGCATGAAGATAACTCAGAAGCAGAAGAAGACGAGGAGACAGAAGATAGTGCAGAGCAAGGGGAGACACAATCCACCCCGCCAGACACAGATGATGGTAGCTCTTCTCAGATGGTTCCAACTGTTCGTAGATCTGAACGAGGGCATATACCATCGACAAGGTACACATCATCCGAATATCTTTTGTTAACTGAAGATGGGGAACCGGAGAGTTTTCAAGAAGCTGTATCTCATAAGGATAAAGAAAAATGGCTAATAGCAATGCAGGATGAGTTAGAATCTCTGCAGAAAAATCAAACTTATGAGATCGTAGAACTTCCTAAAGGGAAGAAGGCACTAAGGAACAAATGGGTGTTCAAGCTGAAGAAGGATGCAAGCGGACAAGTGGTGAAACACAAAGCTCGGTTGGTTGTCAAAGGGTTCCAGCAGAAGAAAGGAATTGACTTTGATGAGATCTTTGCACCAGTTGTCAAGATGACCTCAATCCGAGTTATACTTGGCTTGGCAGCAAGTATGAACTTGGAGCTTGAACAGATGGATGTGAAGACAGCATTTCTTCACGGAGATTTGAAAGAAGAAATCTACATGCAGCAGCCGGAAGGTTTTGAGAACTCAAATGATAACTTTGTGTGTAAGTTATCTAAAAGTTTGTATGGCTTGAAGCAGGCACCAAGGCAGTGGAATAAGAAGTTTGACTCATGCATGAAGAGTCAAGGCTACAAGAAGACTACTGCGGATGAGTGTGTATACATCAAGAAACTTCCAGACGGTACTTTCATTGCTCTTCTACTATATGTAGACGACATGTTGATCGTTGGGAAAGATGCAGTGAAGATAAAGCAGCTGAAGAAAGAACTCTCTAAGTCTTTTGATATGAAAGACTTAGGACCGGCTCAACAGATTCTTGGGATGCAGATCACTCGAGACAGGAAGAATCGCAAGTTATGGCTTTCTCAGGAGAAGTACATTGAACGAGTACTTGAGAGATTCAACATGAATGATGCCAAACCTGTAAGTGTTCCACTTGCGAATCACTTCAAGTTGAGCAAAAGAACATGCCCTACATCCAAGGAAGAGATCGAGGAGATGTCAACAGTTCCATATTGTTCAGCAGTTGGGAGTTTGATGTACGCCATGGTATGCACAAGGCCAGACATCGCACAGGCAGTGGGTACAGTGAGTCGTTTTCTCTCTAACCCAGGGAAGGAGCATTGGGAGGCAGTCAAATGGATTCTCAGGTACTTGAAAGGTACCACGAAGTTATGTCTTTGTTACGGAGGAGCTGATCCAGTCTTGGAAGGCTACACAGATGCTGATATGGCAGGAGATACTGATAGTAGAAAGTCTACTTCAGGATATATCTACACTTTTGCAGGGGGAGCCGTTTCTTGGCAATCAAGATTGCAGAAGTGTGTCGCTTT